ACTGTCAGCCACGGCCGGCTCCAGGCACGGTGCCGTTCAAGGCGAAGCAGTAGGAGCCACAAGTGCGTGCGACAGCCCAGCGGGGGGGGGGGGGTGCAGTGCGGCAGTGCGGTTTCCTTGGCGGGGTTGCGAGGCCTGCAACCGGAACTGCCAAGCCGCCGGAAGCTTGGACAGGCTATTAACTCATCTTGAGTCAGGCTTTTCGTAAATCAGGCCGAGCACCTACCTCGTCTCGCGGCCGAGTACGGCAGGGAGTTTGTGGGGAGCCTCAGTGAGATGTGTCTTTTATCACAGCAAACCGGCTTGGGGCGCTCAGGTCCCGGCCGTGCGAACCTGAGAACATGAAAAAAGGAGGCACCCAGAAAATCCCAACAGTCCCAGGTTGAGCTTGCAGAAGGTACCGGCCCAGGTGCCTTGGCTGTGCACAGCGATGCTACATGCGATGACGCTATGACCCCTGAGGCCCAGGCGGTGCCATTGCCCGTGCCGGTGCCCGTGGCATCCGTGGCCATGGGGCCCGCTGTGGCGAGCGGACGCCTCAGACATCCTCGCATGCGGCGAGCAGCGAACCGCCCCTCAGGCGTTGCCACGCCTTCGAAAGTCTGGTTCTGCGCCCTTCCCAGCTGCAGTTCGCTGCGAAAGAAGTGATATTCCCTTTTTGGGAGGTGCTCCGGGCTCTCCGCAGCCCATAGGCACGGTGAACACCTTGGGCTCGGTGCTGCGCTGACAATTCGCTTTCAAAGGGCTTTGTCTTGCATGCCTTTCTTTGATGCTTCACGGATCCCAGCCGCGAAGCGTCGAGGACGCGTTTCACGACATAACAGCTCGGAGAGGCATAGCCCACCGAAAATGACCTGCGCTGGGATCTTTCTTTCGGTGAACCTTTTCGGGGGCAGAGGCAGATTCTGGCTCGAGCCTCGGGTAGCGAGGTCCTCGCCTGTTGCGCGAGATGGTGCTTCGCTTGGTGCTTTTGGGAGCTTGGGCCATCACGGCCCGAGGCCAGCCACTCGAGCGAGTTGGGCAGAGCCAGAGCTTAGGACATCGGGCGACTGACCCGTTTTCCGTGAGGCTTGTCGCACTTCATGTTTTTCTGCGAAGCCAAGGCAGTGCGACTGCAGCCCATGCCAAGAATACCCCGAGGAGGATTTCAGTCCCGATCCCTGCTTCGACAAGTGCATCGTCACGGGAGACCCTCACGTGGAGCACAGCTGGCGTCCGGGATTTGAGAACGGATTCGACTTCCAGCCTCAAGGCATTTGGCGCTTGGCCAAGACGGACACCTGTGGCGGCACAGTGGAAGTTCAGGCCTTCTTCTGCCACTACTTCTTCACCAAACTCAGTGCCTAGACTTGCGTATACCTCGCCCTGAAAGCATGAGCAGTCTGATTCCTTCATGAGGTCATGAGGTGAAGGTGCGTTGGAAAATCTGTCGTCTTCAGGCAGTGCCATTGCATACGCGATCACCATCAACGGCGGCGACAAGTACATCATCAAACGGGTCGGGGATGAGTTCCAGGTAGGCAGTCCCGACGTGCGGGGCTTCAACGTCAGCTTCGAAGGTGACCCAGTGTCCGGGCGACTCCTCGTCAGCGACGACAAATGCGTGCGCATCAAGATGAACACTGTGCCCCTTTATGACCCTCGGACGAGGTTCCTGGACAATCCCTACCTCAACAACATCTTCATGAACATTTGGGAGTGCGCAACAACGCAGGAAGGCATTTGCGGTGCTCAGATTCTCGGCTCCGTGAGGGTCCGTTCCGAGCCGGTCCGTTAGTCCGCGCAGTTCGTCCCTAAGTCTGTTTGCTTCCGGCTTGCGCAGCGTCGAAGTTTTTCCGTCCGAGGAAGCTGTCGAAGGAATGGATCGACCCCGAGAGTGACGAGAATCTTTTCAAGACCCCCGACCAGCAGGATCTGTGGAAAGACCTTTGCGAGTTCTGCCAGGAGGGAGGCCGGGAAACCATCAACATAAATCAGATCAAGTATCGACCGCTCTTCTGCCAGACAGCCTGAGGCCAAGCCACCACGCCACCGGGCTGCCCCGCACCGCCAGGTGGCGAGGAACCCGGCGAGCCTGGCTGCGAGTTCCTCAGGCCTTGGACCAAGCAGCGCTTGGTGGTTTTGACGTGACTTGCAATGTGACGTGACGATGTGACTCGATGTGACAGAGCATGGCGCAGGCCCTATGGCAGCATATGGGACAAGGAGTGCGTGCCTCAGCCAGGCGATTCGGCCAACAACGACCTCCTGAAAGACCTTCAAGATGGTGGCGAGAACTGCGCCTTTAGGTGGCCTTCGCTCGCTTGAACAACCACCCGAAGTTCCCGGGAAGAAGCTGCAGAGACTGGTGCCAGGATCGCGGTGCGGAGTGCGTGACAGTCCGGGACGACATTGCCACCGGGAAGTTCCCGACCGAGGACAACAGCAACGCCTGCCAACTAACTGAGGCTGACCACCCCAACAACTTCATCGGAGGGACCCAGAGCAACCCAAGACCTGTGATACGGTCAGCAGGGACACGCATTGCGTGTGTAAGAAGCCCGACAACCCTGCGCACCTTGTTGCAGAATCCCTAAACGGGTATACAGTTCTGCTTTTGATGTACGTGGCTACCGGAGGACCCGGTGTAACGGTAGCTCGTGGTGCAGCTAAGGCCGGGAGAGTCGGTGGAGAAGACCTGCTTGGAAGCCCGGGACGAAGCCGGATTTAATTTCTCGCACCTGGATGCGGCAGACCTTTGCCGAAGGGAGGCTATGTGGTTCCAGCGCGTGACCTACCCACGGAACACCGAACAGACCACCTTCGAGCAACGTCTTCTGCTGTACTGCGCCCAGGACGTCTGTGCCACGGACCCAGAAGATAGGCCAGAGGTGGCCCGAATCTATCAGGATCGGGACCCCGACCTGAACGACAAGCCCGGCGTGTGCAACGGCCCCCTGCTGTGCAACGTCGTTTGCTCCAGCCAGCTCATCGAGAGTTGGGGCGAGTGTCTGAACCGCTGTGAAGCCCACCGATCGAAGCTGATCCATGCGGTTACGCGCTACTGCAAGGCCGGTATTTGCACTGCGTATCTGGAAGAGACGGAAACAATAGGCCTTCTCCAGCATCGCCGATCCAACCGCTCAGAGATCATGAGCTCTCGCAGGTCTTGGGGATCTCGCAGGAGCTCGCGTCGAAGCTGGAGCCGTCGCCGCAAAGGTGACGACGATGACGGCAGTGGCAGCACTCGTCGCCGCAAAGGTGACGACGATGACGGCAGTGGCAGCACTCGTCGCCGCAAAGGTGACGACGATGACGGCAGTGGCAGCACTCGTCGCCGCAAAGGTGACGACGATGACGGCAGTGGCAACCGCAGGCGCAAAGGTGACGACGATGATGGAAGCACGCGTCGCCGCAAGCGCGACGACGATATCGGTGACGATGATGTGCCGGACGATGGGTGTGTGGACAAGCAATTCATGTGCAACATGCTTTGCGCTGGGATGAAACTGGAGGGTCGAGAGCTTTCGTGGTGCAAGCACAGATGCACATCGAAGTTTACCAGCCAGATCAAGCCGGGATTGGACCACTACTGCAAGGAGTGCAAGAACTACTGCGAGCACCCTCCGGCGACAACCACCACCACAACGACAACAACAACCACTGCAGTCAACAACGAGTGCAAGCACACCAAGGTGTACTTCACGACCTCCACGACCACCCATCCTCCCTACCCCAAAGACGACGACGATAAGGATGACAGCCGTCGCCGCAAAGACGACAGCCGGCGCCGCAAGGGTGATGACGACGATGGAAGTGGAACCCGCCGCCGCAAGGGCGACGATGATGGCAGCCGGCGCCGCAAGGGTGATGACGACGATGGAAGTGGAAGCTGGCATGGAAGTACCTCCACGTGGTGCCAGCGGGCCTCCGAGGAGGAGGAACAAAACTTCAACGATATGATCAAGATCAAAGCGGAGGCCAATGAATCTAGCAGCGAAGGCTCTGGGGAGCTGGGCTGCTACTTCCAATTCGAAGGATGGCGCGGCAGCCAACGGCCGCGGACACGATGGAGAACATGTTTGATGGCAAATGTACCTCCAACCCGGAGGGGACATTTTCAGACGTGCAAGGTATCATGTGCTGCTGGGGCCTTGGGCGGCCGGGCAGCAGAGACTTTGTATGGCTGTGGCAGTGCATTTTCGACGCTCTTCTGGTTTCTGTCTTGGGTGATGCTGGGGCATGGGACAGTGAGTCAGGGACGCCGAAGCTTAGCACACGCAAGACCCGATTCCGCTGGCATCGCTGCCAGAGGAGCCGGCCGTGCCTTGGCCTCAGAACTATGTTGAAGGCCCGTCTTGTGAGGCGCAAACGACGCCGAGGGCCAAGGACCAAGGAACGGCCACCTGTAAGTTGGCGCATTGTTGCATTTGACTGCCGATGGATACAAGGTGCAAGACGGCCCGCTTCCAGAAGAGGCCGGGGCCTCCATGCGATGCGTCGCCACGGAGGTAAGTTCCGGTGGGCACTGCGGGTGTTTGCCGCCGGACGCGGGACCATCGGTCGTGGTGAAAGCCCAGATGGCCATCCTGGGCGGGACTCTGTCGGTGTCGGAGGTGGCTTTGGCAACCAACCCGAGCTTGTAATCAGCGGCCCTTTTGGCCAATGCGACCACTTAGGTCGCGCAACTGCATCGGCTCACTGCACTCAGGAAGCGCGTAACGGTTGTGGAGAAAGCCCGGATGGCCAACCCGGGCGGGACGAGGACGGTGCCGGAGGTGGATTCGGCAGCCATCAGGAGCAAACGCGCATAGGCCATTTTGGCCTGAGTGGCAGCGGCATTGAGGTATCTGTGGCGTGTGGCTCAGATTTTTCCTCTTTTAGTTTTGGTGCAACGCGGGATGCAAAAGCAAAGTCGGCATCTGTCTGTGAGAGTTTTGAGCAGCGAGTCGAGGAGCCACAACCCGGGGAACATTGCATATGTGAGCCGTCGGTAGTCCCCTCTCACGAATTAGTTTGTAATGCAAGTCTGTCTAGTCAGAGCTTGGTGCTTCGGACTGGGCGTGGAGAAGGCCCGGACGGCCACCCTGGGCGGAGGTGGCCATCGGAGGAGGTCGCCTGCACAGGAGTGGTCCGCTGCAACGGGCAGCTACTTCCAACAGTGGAGGCGCTTGCGCTTCGTGCCCCTCGCGGAGGGGGCCATGATGATCAGGCCTTCCTCCGTGCGTTGCAGCAGCTCGTTGAGAAGTTTAGCCCTGCTTCCCCCAGCGAGAAAGGGAAGGGCAAACAGAGACCACAGCAACCCCACCAGCCACCGGCGGGCAAAGGTGGGAGAGACAGGGGCCAAGGAAAGCAGAGCAAAGGCAAGGGCCAAGCTGGGCCACCGAAAAGTGCGACAGCCAGTCAGTGAGGATCAGCTGCTCGCGGCCATTGGACGCCTCGTCCAACGCGCATCGGTCAGTGGAGCTCACGGCCTGGGCGACAGGCTCCGCACTGTACTGGCTTCCGCCGAGGCTGGTCAGTCGCTTAAGAGCGGAAGAACCGAGCGCAGGCGCCGGGCCAAAGAAAAGAAGCGTCTTGCCTCTGGCAAGCAGTCCTTTTACGCGGCGTTTCCGCAGCAGGCTCCTAAGGTCGCTGAACAGATTAGCAAGGGCAAGGGCAGTGATAGCAAGCATGTTGCACCGCCACAACCCACCTGGCAACTCGACAAGTCGGCCGAGGCCATCACTGCGGGTGAGGCTAGGAGGCGCATGCATGAACAGAGGCCATTGCAGGCACAAGCGGTGGTTGTCAAGAGCTCGGAAGAGGCAACCGAGCTGCGCAACCTCGCCCGTGTCAATGAAGTGCAGGGAAAGATTGCCTTGGTTAGCCAAAACGATCTCGGCAATGAAGCCACGCATCGTGACATCACTTGTGTGAGGGACGGACGGCGTGAAGTTAAGAAGTGGCAGGAGTTGGCGCTCACCAGTGAGGGTTGCCCTGCCAAGCCAGCCGTGCGGCGCACGTCTACGTTTCAGCCCCCGAGTCGTGAGCTCCAGACCGTGCGGGTCCTTGCCGTCAAGGACTACATGGAACCGATGATCTGGCGCAACCTGCTGGACGGGCCCAAAGAAGTCGTGAGTAGGCTGTTGGGAACCAGGCCGCACCGTGCGGAGGGTTGGAAGCAACTTTCCACTCAAGGCGGGGACCAGCACTTTGTTGGCTACCTTACCTTCGTGAAGGCCGAGGCCGAGAAAGCACTGGCGTCTTCAGGTCGCAACGGCATCTTCGTGGAGAAGCTAGCTCGCGATCAGACCACTCGGCCATTGCTACAGTGGATACAGCCGGGCAATCTCCAAGGCATCAGCTACCTCCGCCATGCCATCATGGAAGCTGCCGGCAAGCCGTTGGCCTTCCGTAAAGGCCAAGGAGCTGCGCTGGGCGTTCGCGCCCAAAAGGGCGAGACTCTGCAAGTTGCCAGCAACTGGAGAGTGTGTGGGGTTCCTAAGTCTTGGAGCGAGCAGGACGTTGTGGATGCCCTTACGGGAGCCTCCTTCCAAGAAGTCACCGTGATCAGTGAAGCCAGCGGTAGCAGGCCTTGGCTCGTCCGTGGAGTTCTGGGCGGCGACACTGGGGAGTTGGCGCTCCTCGTTGAGACGGGCAGCAAAGAGCTCCGTGTGGAGCGCGTTGTTGGCAGGCAACAAGAGGGACGCTACAGTGAGAAGCTTTGGCAGCCGCCCAAGGCTAATCGCAAGGCCCCGGCGGCTGCTGCCCCTTCGGGTCTGCCTACCACGCATGACCAGGCCGCTGTCTCCGAGGACATGGAAGTGGACAGTGCCGCCAATGCGGAGACTGGCCCGTCTACGGACGCTCAAAGTGGGCAACAGTCCAAGCCTGAGGCGGGGCAAGGTAGCACTGCGGGTGTTACACCGGCGAAGCGGCAGCGTGCACCAGACTCCGGCCGGTTGGGCAAAAATGCCTGGGACGAAAAGGAGTGTGGAGCAGCTGGGCATTGTTTCTACAACTGCGTGACAGCTGGTTTCGTCTTGAAGACGTCTAAGACGACATTCACTGAGCTCGAGAAAGACTTGGCCTCCAAAGGCAGAGGACTCAGGAGCCGCATTGCTTCCTACATCCAGGGCCATGAAGACCGTTTTCGGCCTTTCTTCGAGCCGAGCCGTGTGGATCCGGCTGCTCCTGACCAGAAGGAGGCGGCTGAGTACCTCGCGAAGGTCGAGGATGGCGACCCTCCGCAAGACTGGCAAGACTACCTCCAGGCAATCTGGAGGCCGGCACGCTGGGCAGATGAAATAAGCTTTCGGGCGGCGGCTGCGCTCCTTGGCGTCAACCTTCAGCTGGTGTGTGGCAACCTTGACAAGCCGGACAAAGTCCTGACCTACCACAATGCCAAGTCCACTACGGTTCTCTACCTTCACCACTCGCTGGGTCATTATACCCTCCTGTTGCCGAAAGGCGAGAACATGCCAGACTACATCCTTCCCGTGAGCTCGCCACAGGAAGGCTCTCAGGTCTTTGCCCCTCGGGGCGGCGGCCTCAGTGCGCACGACGCCATTGATGACTCATGGATCCCTGCGGAAGCGAGCACCGATGAGGATCGGCCCATCTCTGCCGCGCCCTGCCGCCTCTCTGACGCTCCTGAGGTTGAATCCCAGGACCGACGCTCTGCAAGCCGGAGCGATCTCATGCGTAAGGTCGCCCGAGCTGTGGCTAAGGCTAGGGTGCGCAAGCATACTGTTGGCAGAAAGAAACAATGGCAGTGCAATGTGTGTTCTCTGACCTTGAGAGAGAACACCATGCGTGCGTTGTCTGTGGCGCGTTTCGGCCACATCAAGCGAGTGCACCCCAAGGTCCCTCTTGATAGGTTTACTGACCTTAGGTCCTTCATAGGGGTCACCTCGACAGTGTTTGACACGCCGAGCCCCGCTTGGATGTGCGGGTACTGCCACGCTTTCCTCCCGAGGATGCAGAGCAAGTACGCGCAGAGCAAATCTGCGAAGCATCACTTGAGTCAGTGCCCTCACGCCCCTGCTAAGGTCACACTCATGCAGAATATGCGACAGATCCTCGCTGCTGAGGGCCTGCCAGTTCCCAAGGGCAATGCCAATGTCTGCCAGGCCTTCGGAAGGAAGATCGATTTGCAAACATTTCGGCCATCGCCCAAAGAGCTTGAGGGCCTGCAAGCTGCCCAGGCGAGGAGTTCGTCGCCCGTTATCCGTCGACACAAAGCAAGCAGTAGCTGTGTTTTCCAGGGAGGCCCGCCGTGTACCTGCAAAAAGCGCTCCGGCTCCAAGCCGGCTCACGCGGCGCAGCCGCCAGAGCACGGAGAACAGGCCGTCCAAGGCCCCAAGCGCCGAGGATCGTCGTCGGCTTTCGTTGAGAGTGTACTCCCCGCAGGCCGGTTTCGCTTTGCCCTTAGCTCGCAGCCACGGGCTGAGATGCAGCGCCAGGCTCATGTCACTGAAGCTGAGGGCCGCTTTCGTTGTGAGCTTAAGCCGCCGCCGCGGGACGGGGGTTGGATCCGTGACCTTACGGAAGAAAACATTGAGTCTAATCCGGGGCCGCCGGCTGCTTCTGTGCACAAGCTGCGAGTGACCATCTGGAACTCGCAAGGGCACCAGCACATCTTCGACGCCTTGGCTGCTCAGGTTTTTCGGGATGTCGATGTTGTGATGCTTCAAGAGGTTAATCTTTCCTCTGTCAAGCGCAAGGACCTCATAATGGTCGCTGCGGCACATGGCTATCATTCTTACTTCTCCGCCTCGACGGCTGAAGTGGACTGCGCTGGCCGTGCTTTGAACCGGGGAGGACTCGCCACTTTGGTGCGACAAGAGCTGCCCTCGAGAGTGGTGGGCTGCGCAAAGTCTGCGGGGAACTTCGAAACTCTCAGCGTGCGCATAGACGGCATAGGCTGCCTAGTGAACTGCCACCATAAGCCGGGAGGATGCTGGCATCAATCTAGGGTGCATCTTGAGGAACTGCTGAGCCAGGAGCCGAGGCTTGTCTTGGGCGGCGACCTCAATTTACTCCCGAGCGAGGCCCGACTCGCAGGCATTGAGCACCTAGCCGCCCCCTGCCAGGCCGACGGTAGCTTGCAGCCGACTCGTGTTGGAGGCCAGCGTTGCATCGACTACTTCCTCGGCAAAGGTATCTGTCTGCAGGATGCCACCCGTGCCGACGAGTCGCTGAGTGATCACTTTCCCGTCCAGGTCGAGCTTGAAACTGCAGGCAACCCCCGGGAGCATCAGCTGGTTTTGAGGCCCACCACCTTCTACGGTCTCCCACAAGGTGCCGAGCCGGCCGCCTACACTTCGGCTCAGGATGCGCATTGGCAGCTCCACCCGGTGCCCCCGGACAGTGGCGACACGGAGGAGGAATGGAGGTCTCCGCACCGAAGGGCGAAAGGCACGGGATTTAGCACCATTGGGCGCTCCGCCTTTGCACCGGGGCGGCACGGAAGCCCACTCCTTCCATATGAGGCGCTTGCTCAAACTGCAGGGCCGCATCCGAGAGTGGCAAAGGCAAGCCCGTTTGGGCGCGAGCACCGACCATCTTCATGCTTGCGTTGCCCGGTCGTGGCTCAACTGTTGCGGGGCGCTCCCTCAAACCCCAGCCGAAGCAGAGCACCTAGTCACGACTTGCATCGCCGATTTTCAGGCGACTCAGGCCCGAGAAGCTGTTCATCGGTGGCAGCGAAAGCTAGCAGCACGGGGCAGGGAGGCTACGAAGTGGCTCAAGGGCAGGCAGCGCCGAATTACGGGCGTACTTGGCTCGGCGGGCGGACCCCAGGGCGGTGTGCTATCGACAACCGCTAGCCTTCAGCACATTCAAGCCTTCTGGGCGAAAATCTGGGATCGTCCATTGGTCTGCCGTGAGAGGGCGTTGCGTGCATGGCGCCGTCATGGGAGACACCAGCGATGCAGTTTCCAGGCAGAGCATGTTTGGCAGCCAGAGGCATTGCATAAGGCAGCCATTTCCAAAGCAAGTTCTGCTCCGGGTATCGACGGATGGCGAGGGGAAGAGGTCAAGTACTGGCCACGCTCTGCATGGGCGGCGTATGCCGTCTTGCTCAAACGTTGGGCTGCACGGGGCAGCTTTCCTCAAGCTTGGCAGGCCATGCGTCAGGTCCAGGTGCCAAAGGCTGAGGCGGCCGACCTCTCCGGGGAAATCGCCGCCTCTGACTTGAGGCCCATCGTCGTCATGTCCATCTTGTGGCGGGTCACCTCCTCGACTGTCGCCAGCTGTGAAGCGGTGCAGAACTGGCAGGCTGCTGTGCTCGCACCCAGCCAGTTCGGCGGGATCAAGGGCCGACACGTTCACCACGGCATCGGCAGCCTCGCGGGGCCCTTCACCGAAGGGTCTCCTCTTGCTAGCTTGGATTATGCCAAATGCTTCGATCACGTTGACCCTGCTCTGGCATGTGATGTGATGCAAGAGGCAGGATTTCCTGCTACCGTCCTCCGGATGCTCAGGCATACATGGGATCAGACTCGGTTTTTGGAAGTCAACGGCTGCACTCAAGCCACAGGTCATCGGGTTCTCGCCTCTCTGCCCCAGGGCGATGGCCTTGCGCCATTAGCTCTGAATGTGCTGTTGTCGAGCCCTTGCCGCCAGGTCGCTGAGCACTTCGGTGCGGCCCTGCAGCAGAGTGTGTTCCTGGACGATCGGGCCTTCACTGTAGCCCGCATCGTATCCCTGAGGTTCTACAAGCTTGGGACAGATGGTCGCAGCTGCTTGGTCTCCGTGAAAACATCACCAAACGAGCCGTTGTGTGCAACAGCACTGCAGCTGCCGACACGGTGAGACAGGCCGGCCTTGGGCATTGGCTCAAGGGCCAGACGCGGGTACTCGGAGTGGACTTTGTGGCACGTCCTGAGGACATTGGTGCTACGACGACGGCCCGAACTACCGAGGCGCTGCGCCTCGGGCGCAAACTCCTTGCAAAAGGGATCGCATTGGACATCCGGCGCGACTTGTGGCGCACACGGATCGTCCCATTGGCTACCTGGGGTCATCTCTTTGCCGCTCCGGCAGCTGAGGATGTGAAAGCATTGCGCAACTTAGGTGCTGCTGTCCTTTACAGCCACAGGGCTGCTAGCATCCACTTGAGACGACTTTTGGAAGGCCATAACATGGATTTTCTTTTCCAAGCAGGCATGCATGCTGTGCACGCTTTACATGCAAGCACGAGCTGGAGCACCGTGGCTCGCTCGCCAAATCCAGGGTCCTGGTTTGCTAGGGTTAAGGGCTTCCTCTGTGACATGGGTTGGCATCCTGAGTCTACGACCGTGTTTACTACCAGCCAGGCGCGGATTGATTTCGGAGCAGATCGGATTGGGGCCATTGCCCACCGACTGAGGGCGCAGTGGAGGCAACAACAGCTGGCTGGCTTCATCGCCTCGGGTCGCAGGGACGCTGCTCGTATGCAGGGCTGGAATCCTGGAGCGGCCGTTGTCAGTTGTGCAGTCAAGCTTTACCAGCAGGCCCCTGCTGAGGGCAAGGCAGTGCTTTCAGGCGCCGCGTGCAGTACGGCGTACTATGAGGTGCGCAAGACTGGCTCGGCAAGTTCGACGTGCACATGGTGTGGTGCCCCCGTGGCTGCTACTTGGGAACACTTGGCTTGGCATTGCCCAGCTATGCTCGGCGAGCGCCCCGCTCGTCCCAGAGATGAGGCCTCCTGCAGGTTGGGATGGCCACAGGCGGGCGAGACCTTGAACCAGGCTGCGGACAGGCTTCGATGGTTGGCCGCTGTACGTGAGCAAGTTCGCGAGTTCTTGGGATGACAGGCTGGTGCATGCTGCTGTGGCATCTTCTGGATGTCTTTGATTGGCATGTGGCTATGGCCTCCTCATGATGATGGGCCTGCTACTTTGGCATCTCTCTGATGTCTTTGCTGGGCGTGTGGCTATGGCTTCTTCATGTCACTGAGCTGGTGTTTGAGCCTTCCGGACTCTCTTGCTGTGGTTGCCCCTCCGGGGTATGGTCACAGGTCTTCGGGCCTGTAGGCCATTCAAGTCTCACACACGATGGAAGTGGAACCCGCCGCCGCAAGGGCGACGATGATGGCAGCCGGCGCCGCAAGGGTGATGACGACGATGGAAGTGGAACCCGCCGCCGCAAGGGCGACGATGATGGCAGCCGGCGCCGCAAGGGTGATGACGACGATGGAAGTGGAAGCTGGCATGGAAGTACCTCCACGTGGTGCCAGCGGGCCTCCGAGGAGGAGGAACAAAACTTCAACGATATGATCAAGATCAAAGCGGAGGCCAATGAATCTAGCAGCGAAGGCTCTGGGGAGCTGGGCTGCTACTTCCAATTCGAAGGATGGCGCGGCAGCCAACGGCCGCGGACACGATGGAGAACATGTTTGATGGCAAATGTACCTCCAACCCGGAGGGGACTCTTTTCAGACGTGCAAGGTATCATGTGCTGCTGGGGCCTTGGGCGGCCGGGCAGCAGAGACTTTGCATGGCTGTGGCAGTGCATTTTCGACGCTCTTCTGGTTTCTGTCTTGGGTGATGCTGGGGCATGGGACAGTGAGTCAGGGACGCCGAAGCTTAGCACACGCAAGACCCGATTCCGCTGGCATCGCTGCCAGAGGAGCCGGCCGTGCCTTGGCCTCAGAACTATGTTGAAGGCCCGTCTTGTGAGGCGCAAACGACGCCGAGGGCCAAGGACCAAGGAACGGCCACCTGTAAGTTGGCGCATTGTTGCATTTGACTGCCGATGGATACAAGGTGCAAGACGGCCCGCTTCCAGAAGAGGCATGAACAGAGGCCATTGCAGGCACAAGCGGTGGTTGTCAAGAGCTCGGAAGAGGCAACCGAGCTGCGCAACCTCGCCCGTGTCAATGAAGTGCAGGGAAAGATTGCCTTGGTTAGCCAAAACGATCTCGGCAATGAAGCCACGCATCGTGACATCACTTGTGTGAGGGACGGACGGCATGAAGTTAAGAAGTGGCAGGAGTTGGCGCTCACCAGTGAGGGTTGCCCTGCCAAGCCAGCCGTGCGGCGCACGTCTACGTTTCAGCCCCCGAGTCGTGAGCTCCAGACCGTGCGGGTCCTTGCCGTCAAGGACTACATGGAACCGATGATCTGGCGCAACCTGCTGGACGGGCCCAAAGAAGTCGTGAGTAGGCTGTTGGGAACCAGGCCGCACCGTGCGGAGGGTTGGAAGCAACTTTCCACTCAAGGCGGGGACCAGCACTTTGTTGGCTACCTTACCTTCGTGAAGGCCGAGGCCGAGAAAGCACTGGCGTCTTCAGGTCGCAACGGCATCTTCGTGGAGAAGCTAGCTCGCGATCAGACCACTCGGCCATTGCTACAGTGGATACAGCCGGGCAATCTCCAAGGCATCAGCTACCTCCGCCATGCCATCATGGAAGCTGCCGGCAAGCCGTTGGCCTTCCGTAAAGGCCAAGGAGCTGCGCTGGGCGTTCGCGCCCAAAAGGGCGAGACTCTGCAAGTTGCCAGCAACTGGAGAGTGCGTGGGGTTCCTAAGTCTTGGAGCGAGCAGGACGTTGTGGATGCCCTTACGGGAGCCTCCTTCCAAGAAGTCACCGTGATCAGTGAAGCCAGCGGTAGCAGGCCTTGGCTCGTCCGTGGAGTTCTAGGCGGCGACACTGGGGAGTTGGCGCTCCTCGTTGAGACGGGCAGCAAAGAGCTCCGTGTGGAGCGCGTTGTTGGCAGGCAACAAGAGGGACGCTACAGCGAGAAGCTTTGGCAGCCGCCCAAGGCTAATCGCAAGGCCCCGGCGGCTGCTGCCCCTTCGGGTCTGCCTACCACGCATGACCAGGCCGCTGTCTCCGAGGACATGGAAGTGGACAGTGCCGCCAATGCGGAGACTGGCCCGTCTACGGACGCTCAAAGTGGGCAACAGTCCAAGCCTGAGGCGGGGCAAGGTAGCACTGCGGGTGTTACACCGGCGAAGCGGCAGCGTGCACCAGACTCCGGCCGGTTGGGCAGAAATGCCTGGGACGAAAAGGAGTGTGGAGCAGCTGGGCATTGTTTCTACAACTGCGTGACAGCTGGTTTCGTCTTGAAGACGTCTAAGACGACATTCACTGAGCTCGAGAAAGACTTGGCCTCCAAAGGCAGAGGACTCAGGAGCCGCATTGCTTCCTACATCCAGGGCCATGAAGACCGTTTTCGGCCTTTCTTCGAGCCGAGCCGTGTGGATCCGGCTGCTCCTGACCAGAAGGAGGCGGCTGAGTACCTCGCGAAGGTCGAGGATGGCGACCCTCCGCAAGACTGGCAAGACTACCTCCAGGCAATCTGGAGGCCGGCACGCTGGGCAGATGAAATAAGCTTTCGGGCGGCGGCTGCGCTCCTTGGCGTCAACCTTCAGCTGGTGTGTGGCAACCTTGACAAGCCGGACAAAGTCCTGACCTACCACAATGCCAAGTCCACTACGGTTCTCTACCTTCACCACTCGCTGGGTCATTATACCCTCCTGTTGCCGAAAGGCGAGAACATGCCAGACTACATCCTTCCCGTGAGCTCGCCACAGGAAGGCTCTCAGGTCTTTGCCCCTCGGGGCGGCGGCCTCAGTGCGCACGACGCCATTGATGACTCATGGATCCCTGCGGAAGCGAGCACCGATGAGGATCGGCCCATCTCTGCCGCGCCCTGCCGCCTCTCTGACGCTCCTGAGGTTGAATCCCAGGACCGACGCTCTGCAAGCCGGAGCGATCTCATGCGTAAGGTCGCCCGAGCTGTGGCTAAGGCTAGGGTGCGCAAGCATACTGTTGGCAGAAAGAAACAATGGCAGTGCAATGTGTGTTCTCTGACCTTGAGAGAGAACACCATGCGTGCGTTGTCTGTGGCGCGTTTCGGCCACATCAAGCGAGTGCACCCCAAGGTCCCTCTTGATAGGTTTACTGACCTTAGGTCCTTCATAGGGGTCACCTCGACAGTGTTTGACACGCCGAGCCCCGCTTGGATGTGCGGGTACTGCCACGCTTTCCTCCCGAGGATGCAGAGCAAGTACGCGCAGAGCAAATCTGCGAAGCATCACTTGAGTCAGTGCCCTCACGCCCCTGCTAAGGTCACACTCATGCAGAATATGCGACAGATCCTCGCTGCTGAGGGCCTGCCAGTTCCCAAGGGCAATGCCAATGTCTGCCAGGCCTTCGGAAGGAAGATCGATTTGCAAACATTTCGGCCATCGCCCAAAGAGCTTGAGGGCCTGCAAGCTGCCCAGGCGAGGAGTTCGTCGCCCGTTACCCGTCGACACAAAGCAAGCAGTAGCTGTGTTTTCCAGGGAGGCCCGCCGTGTACCTGCAAAAAGCGCTCCGGCTCCAAGCCGGCTCACGCGGCGCAGCCGCCAGAGCACGGAGAACAGGCCGTCCAAGGCCCCAAGCGCCGAGGATCGTCGTCGGCTTTCGTTGAGAGTGTACTCCCTGCTGCCGCAGGCCGGTTTCGCTTTGCCCTTAGCTCGCAGCCACGGGCTGAGATGCAGCGCCAGGCTCATGTCACTGAAGCTGAGGGCCGCTTTCGTTGTGAGCTTAAGCCGCCGCCGCGGGACGGGGGTTGGATCCGCGACCTTACGGAAGAAAACATTGAGTCTAATCCGGGGCCGCCGGCTGCTTCTGTGCACAAGCTGCGAGTGACCATCTGGAACTCGCAAGGGCACCAGCACATCTTCGACGCCTTGGCTGCTCAGGTTTTTCGGGATGTCGATGTTGTGATGCTTCAAGAGGTTAATCTTTCCTCTGTCAAGCGCAAGGACCTCATAATGGTCGCTGCGGCACATGGCTATCATTCTTACTTCTCCGCCTCGACGGCTGAAGTGGACTGCGCTGGCCGTGCTTTGAACCGGGGAGGACTCGCCACTTTGGTGCGACAAGAGCTGCCCTCGAGAGTGGTGGGCTGCGCAAAGTCTGTGGGGAACTTCGAAACTCTCAGCGTGCGCATAGACGGCATAGGCTGCCTAGTGAACTGCCACCATAAGCCGGGAGGATGCTGGCATCAATCTAGGGTGCATCAAGTCTTGAGGAACTGCTGAGCCAGGAGCCGAGGCTTGTCTTGGGCGGCGACCTCAATTTACTCCCGAGCGAGGCCCGACTCGCAGGCATTGAGCACCTAGCCGCCCCCTGCCAGGCCGACGGTAGCTTGCAGCCGACTCGTGTTGGAGGCCAGCGTTGCATGGACTACTTCCTCGGCAAAGGTATCTGTCTGCAGGATGCCACCCGTGCCGACGAGTCGCTGAGTGATCACTTTCCCGTCCAGGTCGAGCTTGAAACTGCAGGCAACCCCCGGGAGCATCAGCTGGTTTTGAGGCCCACCACCTTCTACGGTCTCCCACAAGGTGCCGAGCCGGCCGCCTACACTTCGGCTCAGGATGCGCATTGGCAGCTCCACCCGGTGCCCCCGGACAGTGGCGACACGGAGGAGGAATGGAGGTGGTTTAGCGCCACTGCCGAAGGCGCTTGCAGACACGCCACTGCCGTGTTCGGCTGCATACGTGACCCTCCGCACCGAAGGGCGAAAGGCACGGGATTTAGCACCATTGGGCGCTCCGCCTTGCACCGGGGCGGCACGGAAGCCCACTCCTTCCATATGAGGCGCTTGCTCAAACTGCAGGGCCGCATCCGAGAGTGGCAAAGGCAAGCCCGTTTGGGCGCGAGCACCGACCATCTTCATGCTTGCGTTGCCCGGTCGTGGCTCAACTGTTGCGGGGCGCTCCCTCAAACCCCAGCCGAAGCAGAGCACCTAGTCACGACTTGCATCGCCGATTTTCAGGCGACTCAGGCCCGAGAAGCTGTTCATCGGTGGCAGCGAAAGCTAGCAGCACGGGGCAGGGAGGCTACGAAGTGGCTCAAGGGCAGGCAGCGCCGAATCACGGGCGTACTTGGCTCGGCGGGCGGACCCCAGGGCGGTGTGCTATCGACAACCGCTAGCCTTCAGCACATTCAAGCCTTCTGGGCGAAAATCTGGGATCGTCCATTGGTCTGCCGTGAGAGGGCGTTGCGTGCATGGCGCCGTCATGGGAGACACCAGCGATGCAGTTTCCAGGCAGAGCATGTTTGGCAGCCAGAGGCATTGCATAAGGCAGCCATTTCCAAAGCAAGTTCTGCTCCGGGGATCGACGGATGGCGAGGGGAAGAGGTCAAGTACTGGCCACGCTCTGCATGGGCGGCGTATGCCGTCTTGCTCAAACGTTGGGCTGCACGGGGCAGCTTTCCTCAAGCTTGGCAGGCCATGCGTCAGGTCCAGGTGCCAAAGGCTGAGGCGGCCGACCTCTCCGGGGAAATCGCCGCCTCTGACTTGAGGCCCATCGTCGTCATGTCCATCTTGTGGCGGGTCACCTCCTCGACTGTCGCCAGCTGTGAAGCGGTGCAGAACTGGCAGGCTGCTGTGCTCGCACCCAGCCAGTTCGGCGGGATCAAGGGCCGACACGTTCACCACGGCATCGGCAGCCTCGCGGGGCCCTTCACCGAAGGGTCTCCTCTTGCTAGCTTGGATTATGCCAAATGCTTCGATCACGTTGACCCTGCTCTGGCATGTGATGTGATGCAAGAGGCAGGATTTCCTGCTACCGTCCTCCGGATGCTCAGGCATACATGGGATCAGACTCGGTTTTTGGAAGTCAACGGCTGCACTCAAGCCACAGGTCATCGGGTTCTCGCCTCTCTGCCCCAGGGCGATGGCCTTGCGCCATTAGCTCTGAATGTGCTGTTGTCGAGCCCTTGCCGCCAGGTCGCTGAGCACTTCGGTGCGGCCCTGCAGCAGAGTGTGTTCCTGGACGATCGGGCCTTCACTGTAGCCCCGCATCGTATCCCTGAGGTTCTACAAGCTTGGGACAGATGGTCGCAGCTGCTTGGTCTCCGTGAAAACATCACCAAACGAGCCGTTGTGTGCAACAGCACTGCAGCTGCCGACACGGTGAGACAGGCCGGCCTTGGGCATTGGCTCAAGGGCCAGACGCCGGTACTCGGGCCAGACGCGGGTACTCGGAGTGGACTTTGTGGCACGTCCTGAGGACATTGGTGCTACGACGACGGCCCGAACTACCGAGGCGCTGCGCCTCGGGCGCAAACTCCTTGCAAAAGGGATCGCATTGGACATCCGGCGCGACTTGTGGCGCACACGGATCGTCCCATTGGCTACCTGGGGTCATCTCTTTGCCGCTCCGGCAGCTGAGGATGTGAAAGCATTGCGCAACTTAGGTGCTGCTGTCCTTTACAGCCACAGGGCTGCTAGCATCCACTTGAGGCGACTTTTGGAAGGCCATAACATGGATTTTCTTTTCCAAGCAGGCATGCATGCTGTGCACGCTTTACATGCAAGCACGAGCTGGAGCACCGTGGCTCGCTCGCCAAATCCAGGGTCCTGGTTTGCTAGGGTTAAGGGCTTCCTCTGTGACATGGGTTGGCATCCTGAGTCTACGACCGTGTTTACTACCAGCCAGGCGCGGATTGATTTCGGAGCAGATCGGATTGGGGCCATTGCCCACCGACTGAGGGCGCAGTGGAGGCAACAACAGCTGGCTGGCTTCATCGCCTCGGGTCGCAGGGACGCTGCTCGTATGCAGGGCTGGAATCCTGGAGCGGCCGTTGTCAGTTGTGCAGTCAAGCTTTACCAGCAGGCCCCTGCTGAGGGCAAGGCAGTGCTTTCAGGCGCCGCGTGCAGTACGGCGTACTATGAGGTGCGCAAGACTGGCTCGGCAAGTTCGACGTGCACATGGTGTGGTGCCCCCGTGGCTGCTACTTGGGAACACTTGGCTTGGCATTGCCCAGCTATGCTCGGCGAGCGCCCCGCTCGTCCCAGAGATGAGGCCTCCTGCAGGTTGGGATGGCCACAGGCGGGCGAGACCTTGAACCAGGCTGCGGACAGGCTTCGATGGTTGGCCGCTGTACGTGAGCAAGTTCGCGAGTTCTTGGGATGACAGGCTGGTGCATGCTGCTGTGGCATCTTCTGGATGTCTTTGATTGGCATGTGGCTATGGCCTCCTCATGATGATGGGCCTGCTACTTTGGCATCTCTCTGATGTCTTTGCTGGGCGTGTGGCTATGGCTTCTTCATGTCACTGAGCTGGTGTTTGAGCCTTCCGGACTCTCTTGCTGTGGTTGCCCCTCCGGGGTATGGTCACAGGTCTTCGGGCCTGTAGGCCATTCAAGTCTCACACACGATGGAAGTGGAACCCGCCGCCGCAAGGGCGACGATGATGGCAGCCGGCGCCGCAAGGGTGATGACGACGATGGAAGTGGAACCCGCCGCCGCAAGGGCGACGATGATGGCAGCCGGCGCCGCAAGGGTGATGACGATGGAAGTGGAACCCGCCGCCGCAAGGGCGACGATGATGGCAGCCGGCGCCGCAAGTACAGCCACCATCGGCGTCATTACAAGGACGGGGATGACTGAGGGCAAAGCCCTGCCAATTCGTAGCCGATCATTTTTGGGTTTTGTGAATTTTGCGGCCATCGTGCCGCTCTTGGACTGCAGTCTTGAATCTGAAGCTGCCTGTGTGTGCGAGCCAACACGTGTGACATGTAGCGGCGGAGTGCGGTCGCCGAATAGCAATGTCAGCAATATCGCATTGGCAGGCAGCCCAGAGGCCATCGCATGCATCAGCCGAGTGCTCGTCGCATGCCGAAGTGCCATCCCGTTTTGTTGCTCGGGGAGGGCGTCGAAGACGCCCCAGGCCCTGGGCGATTTTAAAATCACGGACCCGTGGATCAACACTTGGCGAATGTGTTCATCCACAGCAAGAGCAACGTGAGGGATCTCGGAGCATTGAGTGTGCTGGGGGCAGATTCTGGCTCAAGGGGTCACCCCAGCCTCGAAGTCCTCGCCTGTTGCGCGAGATGGTGCTTCGCTTGGTGCTTTTGGGAGCTTGGGCCATCACGGCCCGAGGCCAGCCACTCGAGCGAGTTGGGCAGAGCCAGAGCTTAGGACATCGGGCGACTGACCCGTTTTCCGTGAGGCTTGTCGCACTTCATGTTTTTCTGCGAAGCCAAGGCAGTGCGACTGCAGCCCATGCCAAGAATACCCCGAGGAGGATTTCAGTCCCGATCCCTGCTTCGACAAGTGCATCGTCACGGGAGACCCTCACGTGGAGCACAGCTGGCGTCCGGGATTTGAGAACGGATTCGACTTCCAGCCTCAAGGCATTTGGCGCTTGGCCAAGACGGACACCTGTGGCGGCACAGTGGAAGTTCAGGCCTTCTTCTGCCACTACTTCTTCACCAAACTCAGTGCCTAGACTTGCGTATACCTCGCCCTGAAAGCATGAGCAGTCTGATTCCTTCATGAGGTCATGAGGTGAAGGTGCGTTGGAAAATCTGTCGTCTTCAGGCAGTGCCATTGCATACGCGATCACCATCAACGGCGGCGACAAGTACATCATCAAACGGGTCGGGGATGAGTTCCAGGTAGGCAGTCCCGACGTGCGGGGCTTCAACGTCAGCTTCGAAGGGGACCCAGTGTCCGGGCGACTCCTCGTCAGCGACGACAAATGCGTGCGCATCAAGATGAACACCGTGCCCCTTTATGACCCTCGGACGAGGTTCCTGGACAATCCCTACCTCAACAACATCTTCATGAACATCTGGGAGTGCGCAACAACGCAGGAAGGCATTTGCGGTGCTCAGATTCTCGGCTCCGTGAGGGTCCGTTCCGAGCCGGTCCGTCAGTCCGCGCAGTTCGTCCCTAAGTCTGTTTGCTTCCGGCTTGCGCAGCGTCGAAGTTTTTCCGTCCGAGGAAGCTGTCGAAGGAATGGATCGACCCCGAGAGTGACGAGAATCTTTTCAAGACCCCCGACCAGCAGGATCTGTGGAAAGACCTTTGCGAGTTCTGCCAGGAGGGAGGCCGGGAAACCATCAACACAAATCAGATCAAGTATCGACCGCTCTTCTGCCAGACAGCCTGAGGCCAAGCCACCACGCCACCGGGCTGCCCGGCACCGCCAGGTGGCGAGGAACCCGGCGAGCCTGGCTGCGAGTTCCTCAGGCCTTGGACCAAGCAGCGCTTGGTGGTTTTGACGTGACTTGCAATGTGACGTGACGATGTGACTCGATGTGACAGAGCATGGCGCAGGCCCTATGGCAGCATATGGGACAAGGAGTGCGTGCCTCAGCCAGGCGATTCGGCCAACAACGACCTCCTGAAAGAACTTCAAGATGGTGGCGAGAACTGCGCCTTTCGGCTCAACATGGCTGTGAAACTTATCCTTGTCAGCTTTTGCGCTGAGAGGTGGCCTTCGCTCGCTTGAACAACGGCCCGAAGTTCCCGGGAAGAAGCTGCAGAGACTGGTGCCAGGATCGCGGTGCGGAGTGCGTGACAGTCCGGGACGACATTGCCACCGGGAAGTTCCCGACCGAGGACAACAGCAACGCCTGCCAACTAACTGAGGCTGACCACCCCAACAACTTCATCGGAGGGGACCCAGAGCAACCCAAGACCTGTGATACGGTCAGCAGGGACACGCATTGCGTGTGTAAGAAGCCCGACAACCCTGCGCACCTTGTTGCAGAATCCCTAAACGGGTATACAGTTCTGCTTTTGATGTACGTGGCTACCGGAGGACCCGGTGTAACGGTAGCTCGTGGTGCAGCTAAGGCCGGGAGAGTCGGTGGAGAAGACCTGCTTGGAAGCCCGGGACGAAGCCGGATTTAATTTCTCGCACCTGGATGCGGCAGACCTTTGCCGAAGGGAGGCTATGTGGTTCCAGCGTGTGACCTACCCACGGAACACCGAACAGACCACCTTCGAGCAACGTCTTCTGCTGTACTGCGCCCAGGACGTCTGTGCCACGGACCCAGAAGATAGGCCAGAGGTGGCCCGAATCTATCAGGATCGGGACCCCGACCTGAACGACAAGCCCGGCGTGTGCAACGGCCCCCTGCTGTGCAACGTCGTTTGCTCCAGCCAGCTCATCGAGAGTTGGGGCGAGTGTCTGAACCGCTGTGAAGCCCACCGATCGAAGCTGATCCATGCGGTTACGCGCTACTGCAAGGCCGGTATTTGCACTGCGTATCTGGAAGAGACGGAAACAATAGGCCTTCTCCAGCATCGCCGATCCAACCGCTCAGAGATCATGAGCTCTCGCAGGTCTTGGGGATCTCGCAGGAGCTCGCGTCGAAGCTGGAGCCGTCGCCGCAAAGGTGACGACGATGACGGCAGTGGCAGCACTCGTCGCCGCAAAGGTGACGACGATGACGGCAGTGGCAGCACTCGTCGCCGCAAAGGTGACGACGATGACGGCAGTGGCAGCACTCGTCGCCGCAAAGGTGACGACGATGACGGCAGTGGCAGCACGCGTCGCCGCAAAGGTGACGACGATGACGGCAGTGGCAACCGCAGGCGCAAAGGTGACGACGATGATGGAAGCACGCGTCGCCGCAAGCGCGACGACGATATCGGTGACGATGATGTGCCGGACGATGGGTGTGTGGACAAGCAATTCATGTGCAACATGCTTTGCGCTGGGATGAAACTGGAGGGTCGAGAGCTTTCGTGGTGCAAGCACAGATGCACATCGAAGTTTACCAGCCAGATCAAGCCGGGAATGGACCACTACTGCAAGGAGTGCAAGAACTACTGCGAGCACCCTCCGGCGACAACCACCACCACAACGACAACAACAACCACTGCAGTCAACAACGAGTGCAAGCACACCAAGGTGTACTTCACGACCTCCACGACCACCCATCCTCCCTACCCCAAAGACGACGACGATAAGGATGGCAGCCGTCGCCGCAAAGACGACAGCCGGCGCCGCAAGGGTGATGACGACGATGGAAGTGGAACCCGCCGCCGCAAGGGCGACGATGATGGCAGCCGGCGCCGCAAGGGTGATGACGACGATGGAAGTGGAACCCGCCGCCGCAAGGGCGACGATGATGGCAGCCGGCGCCGCAAGGGTGATGACGATGGAAGTGGAACCCGCCGCCGCAAGGGCGACGATGATGGCAGCCGGCGCCGCAAGTACAGCCACCATCGGCGTCATTACAAGGACGGGGATGACTGAGGGCAAAGCCCTGCCAATTCGTAGCCGATCATTTTCGGGTTTTGTGTATTTTGCGGCCATCGTGCCGCTCTTGGACTGCAGTCTTGAATCTGAAGCTGCCTGTGTGTGCGAGCCAACACGTGTGACATGTAGCGGCGGAGTGCGGTCGCCGAATAGCAATGTCAGCAATGTCGCATTGGCAGGCAGCCCAGAGGCCATCGCATGCATCAGCCGAGTGCTCGTCGCATGCCGAAGTGCCATCCCGTTTTGTTGCTCGGGGAGGGCGTCGAAGACGCCCCAGGCCCTGGGCGATTTTAAAATCACGGACCCGTGGATCAACACTTGGCGAATGTGTTCATCCACAGCAAGAGCAACGTGAGGGATCTCGGAGCATTGAGTGTGCTGGGGGCAGATTCTGGCTCAAGGGGTCACCCCAGCCTCGAGGTCCTCGCCTGTTGCGCGAGATGGTGCTTCGCTTGGTGCTTTTGGGAGCTTGGGCCATCACGGCCCGAGGCCAGCCACTCGAGCGAGTTGGGCAGAGCCAGAGCTTAGGACATCGGGCGACTGACCCGTTTTCCGTGAGGCTTGTCGCACTTCATGTTTTTCTGCGAAGCCAAGGCAGTGCGACTGCAGCCCATGCCAAGAATACCCCGAGGAGGATTTCAGTCCCGATCCCTGCTTCGACAAGTGCATCGTCACGGGAGACCCTCACGTGGAGCACAGCTGGCGTCCGGGATTTGAGAACGGATTCGACTTCCAGCCTCAAGGCATTTGGCGCTTGGCCAAGACGGACACCTGTGGCGGCACAGTGGAAGTTCAGGCCTTCTTCTGCCACTACTTCTTCACCAAACTCAGTGCCTAGACTTGCGTATACCTCGCCCTGAAAGCATGAGCAGTCTGATTCCTTCATGAGGTCATGAGGTGAAGGTGCGTTGGAAAATCTGTCGTCTTCAGGCAGTGCCATTGCATACGCGATCACCATCAACGGCGGCGACAAGTACATCATCAAACGGGTCGGGGATGAGTTCCAGGTAGGCAGTCCCGACGTGCGGGGCTTCAACGTCAGCTTCGAAGGTGACCCAGTGTCCGGGCGACTCCTCGTCAGCGACGACAAATGCGTGCGCATCAAGATGAACACCGTGCCCCTTTATGACCGTCGGACGAGGTTCCTGGACAATCCCTACCTCAACAACATCTTCATGAACATCTGGGAGTGCGCAACAACGCAGGAAGGCATTTGCGGTGCTCAGATTCTCGGCTCCGTGAGGGTCCGTTCCGAGCCGGTCCGTCAGTCCGCGCAGTTCGTCCCTAAGTCTGTTTGCTTCCGGCTTGCGCAGCGTCGAAGTTTTTCCGTCCGAGGAAGCTGTCGAAGGAATGGATCGACCCCGAGAGTGACGAGAATCTTTTCAAGACCCCCGACCAGCAGGATCTGTGGAAAGACCTTTGCGAGTTCTGCCAGGAGGGAGGCCGGGAAACCATCAACACAAATCAGATCAAGTATCGACCGCTCTTCTGCCAGACAGCCTGAGGCCAAGCCACCACGCCACCGGGCTGCCCGGCACCGCCAGGTGGCGAGGAACCCGGCGAGCCTGGCTGCGAGTTCCTCAGGCCTTGGACCAAGCAGCGCTTGGTGGTTTTGACGTGACTTGCAATGTGACGTGACGATGTGACTCGATGTGACAGAGCATGGCGCAGGCCCTATGGCAGCATATGGGACAAGGAGTGCGTGCCTCAGCCAGGCGATTCGGCCAACAACGACCTCCTGAAAGAACTTCAAGATGGTGGCGAGAACTGCGCCTTTCGGCTCAACATGGCTGTGAAACTTATCCTTGTCAGCTTTTGCGCTGAGAGGTGGCCTTCGCTCGCTTGAACAACGGCCCGAAGTTCCCGGGAAGAAGCTGCAGAGACTGGTGCCAGGATCGCGGTGCGGAGTGCGTGACAGTCCGGGACGACATTGCCACCGGGAAGTTCCCGACCGAGGACAACAGCAACGCCTGCCAACTAACTGAGGCTGACCACCCCAACAACTTCATCGGAGGGGACCCAGAGCAACCCAAGACCTGTGATACGGTCAGCAGGGACACGCATTGCGTGTGTAAGAAGCCCGACAACCCTGCGCACCTTGTTGCAGAATCCCTAAACGGGTATACAGTTCTGCTTTTGATGTACGTGGCTACCGGAGGACCCGGTGTAACGGTAGCTCGTGGTGCAGCTAAGGCCGGGAGAGTCGGTGGAGAAGACCTGCTTGGAAGCCCGGGACGAAGCCGGATTTAATTTCTCGCACCTGGATGCGGCAGACCTTTGCCGAAGGGAGGCTATGTGGTTCCAGCGTGTGACCTACCCACGGAACACCGAACAGACCACCTTCGAGCAACGTCTTCTGCTGTACTGCGCCCAGGACGTCTGTGCCACGGACCCAGAAGATAGGCCAGAGGTGGCCCGAATCTATCAGGATCGGGACCCCGACCTGAACGACAAGCCCGGCGTGTGCAACGGCCCCCTGCTGTGCAACGTCGTTTGCTCCAGCCAGCTCATCGAGAGTTGGGGCGAGTGTCTGAACCGCTGTGAAGCCCACCGATCGAAGCTGATCCATGCGGTTACGCGCTACTGCAAGGCCGGTATTTGCACTGCGTATCTGGAAGAGACGGAAACAATAGGCCTTCTCCAGCATCGCCGATCCAACCGCTCAGAGATCATGAGCTCTCGCAGGTCTTGGGGATCTCGCAGGAGCTCGCGTCGAAGCTGGAGCCGTCGCCGCAAAGGTGACGACGATGACGGCAGTGGCAGCACTCGTCGCCGCAAAGGTGACGACGATGACGGCAGTGGCAGCACTCGTCGCCGCAAAGGTGACGACGATGACGGCAGTGGCCGCACTCGTCGCCGCAAAGGTGACGACGATGACGGCAGTGGCAGCACGCGTCGCCGCAAAGGTGACGACGATGACGGCAGTGGCAACCGCAGGCGCAAAGGTGACGACGATGATGGAAGCACGCGTCGCCGCAAGCGCGACGACGATATCGGTGACGATGATGTGCCGGACGATGGGTGTGTGGACAAGCAATTCATGTGCAACATGCTTTGCGCTGGGATGAAACTGGAGGGTCGAGAGCTTTCGTGGTGCAAGCACAGATGCACATCGAAGTTTACCAGCCAGATCAAGCCGGGATTGGACCACTACTGCAAGGAGTGCAAGAACTACTGCGAGCACCCTCCGGCGACAACCACCACCACAACGACAACAACAACCACTGCAGTCAACAACGAGTGCAAGCACACCAAGGTGTACTTCACGACCTCCACGACCACCCATCCTCCCTACCCCAAAGACGACGACGATAAGGATGACAGCCGTCGCCGCAAAGACGACAGCCGTCGCCGCAAGGGTGATGACGACGATGGAAGTGGAACTCGCCGACGCCGGCGCCGCAAGGGTGATGACGACGATGGAAGTGGAACTCGCCGCCGCAAGGGCGACGATGATGGTAGCCGGCGCCGCAAGGGTGATGACGATGGTAGTGGGCGTCGCCGCAAGGGCGACGATGATGGCAGCCGTCGCCGCAAGGGTGATGACGACGATGGAAGTGGAACCCGCCGCCGCAAGGGCGACGATGATGGCAGCCGGCGCCGCAAGGGTGATGACGATGGTAGTGGGCGTCGCCGCAAGGGCGACGATGATGGCAGCCGGCGCCGCAAGTACAGCCACCATCGGCGTCATTACAAGGACGGGGATGACTGAGGGCAAAGCCCTGCCAATTCGTAGCCGATCATTTTTGGGTTTTGTGTATTTTGCGGCCATCGTGCCGCTCTTGGACTGCAGTCTTGAATCTGAAGCTGCCTGTGTGTGCGAGCCAACACGTGTGACATGTAGCGGCGGAGTGCGGTCGCCGAATAGCAATGTCAGCAATGTCGCATTGGCAGGCAGCCCAGAGGCCATCGCATGCATCAGCCGAGTGCTCGTCGCATGCCGAAGTGCCATCCCGTTTTGTTGCTCGGGAGGGCGTCGAAGACGCCCCAGGCCCTGGGCGATTTTAAAATCACGGACCCGTGGATCAACATTTGGCGAATGTGTTCATCCACAGCAAGAGCAACGTGAGGGATCTCGGAGCATTGAGTGTGCTGGGGGCAGATTCTGGCTCAAGGGGTCACCCCAGCCTCGAGGTCCTCGCCTGTTGCGCGAGATGGTGCTTCGCTTGGTGCTTTTGGGAGCTTGGGCCATCACGGCCCGAGGCCAGCCACTCGAGCGAGTTGGGCAGAGCCAGAGCTTAGGACATCGGGCGACTGACCCGTTTTCCGTGAGGCTTGTCGCACTTCATGTTTTTCTGCGAAGCCAAGGCAGTGCGACTGCAGCCCATGCCAAGAATACCCCGAGGAGGATTTCAGTCCCGATCCCTGCTTCGACAAGTGCATCGTCACGGGAGACCCTCACGTGGAGCACAGCTGGCGTCCGGGATTTGAGAACGGATTCGACTTCCAGCCTCAAGGCATTTGGCGCTTGGCCAAGACGGACACCTGTGGCGGCACAGTGGAAGTTCAGGCCTTCTTCTGCCACTACTTCTTCACCAAACTCAGTGCCTAGACTTGCGTATACCTCGCCCTGAAAGCATGAGCAGTCTGATTCCTTCATGAGGTCATGAGGTGAAGGTGCGTTGGAAAATCTGTCGTCTTCAGGCAGTGCCATTGCATACGCGATCACCATCAACGGCGGCGACAAGTACATCATCAAACGGGTCGGGGATGAGTTCCAGGTAGGCAGTCCCGACGTGCGGGGCTTCAACGTCAGCTTCGAAGGTGACCCAGTGTCCGGGCGACTCCTCGTCAGCGACGACAAATGCGTGCGCATCAAGATGAACACCGTGCCCCTTTATGACCGTCGGACGAGGTTCCTGGATAATCCCTACCTCAACAACATCTTCATGAACATCTGGGAGTGCGCAACAACGCAGGAAGGCATTTGCGGTGCTCAGATTCTCGGCTCCGTTAGTGTCCGTTCCGAGCCGGTCCGTCAGTCCGCGCAGTTCGTCCCTAAGTCTGTTTGCTTCCGGCTTGCGCAGCGTCGAAGTTTTTCCGTCCGAGGAAGCTGTCGAAGGAATGGATCGACCCCGAGAGTGACGAGAATCTTTTCAAGACTCCCGACCAGCAGGATCTGTGGAAAGACCTTTGCGAGTTCTGCCAGGAGGGAGGCCGGGAAACCATCAACACAAATCAGATCAAGTATCGACCGCTCTTCTGCCAGACAGCCTGAGGCCAAGCCACCACGCCACCGGGCTGCCCGGCACCGCCAGGTGGCGAGGAACCCGGCGAGCCTGGCTGCGAGTTCCTCAGGCCTTGGACCAAGCAGCGCTTGGTGGTTTTGACGTGACTTGCAATGTGACGTGACGATGTGACTCGATGTGACAGAGCATGGCGCAGGCCCTATGGCAGCATATGGGACAAGGAGTGCGTGCCTCAGCCAGGCGATTCGGCCAACAACGACCTCCTGAAAGAACTTCAAGATGGTGGCGAGAACTGCGCCTTTCGGCTCAACATGGCTGTGAAACTTATCCTTGTCAGCTTTTGCGCTGAGAGGTGGCCTTCGCTCGCTTGAACAACGGCCCGAAGTTCCCGGGAAGAAGCTGCAGAGACTGGTGCCAGGATCGCGGTGCGGAGTGCGTGACAGTCCGGGACGACATTGCCACCGGGAAGTTCCCGACCGAGGACAACAGCAACGCCTGCCAACTAACTGAGGCTGACCACCCCAACAACTTCATCGGAGGGGACCCAGAGCAACCCAAGACCTGTGATACGGTCAGCAGGGACACGCATTGCGTGTGTAAGAAGCCCGACAACCCTGCGCACCTTGTTGCAGAATCCCTAAACGGGTATACAGTTCTGCTTTTGATGTACGTGGCTACCGGAGGACCCGGTGTAACGGTAGCTCGTGGTGCAGCTAAGGCCGGGAGAGTCGGTGGAGAAGACCTGCTTGGAAGCCCGGGACGAAGCCGGATTTAATTTCTCGCACCTGGATGCGGCAGACCTTTGCCGAAGGGAGGCTATGTGGTTCCAGCGTGTGACCTACCCACGGAACACCGAACAGACCACCTTCGAGCAACGTCTTCTGCTGTACTGCGCCCAGGACGTCTGTGCCACGGACCCAGAAGATAGGCCAGAGGTGGCCCGAATCTATCAGGATCGGGACCCCGACCTGAACGACAAGCCCGGCGTGTGCAACGGCCCCCTGCTGTGCAACGTCGTTTGCTCCAGCCAGCTCATCGAGAATTGGGGCGAGTGTCTGAACCGCTGTGAAGCCCACCGATCGAAGCTGATCCATGCGGTTACGCGCTACTGCAAGGCCGGTATTTGCACTGCATATCTGGAAGAGACGGAAACAATAGGCCTTCTCCAGCATCGCCGATCCAACCGCTCAGAGATCATGAGCTCTCGCAGGTCTTGGGGATCTCGCAGGAGCTCGCGTCGAAGCTCTCGCAGGTCTTGGGGATCTCGCAGGAGCTCGCAATGGTCGCATGTGAGCTGGAGCCGTCGTCGCAAAGGTGACGACGATGACGGCAGTGGCAGCACTCGTCGTCGCAAAGGTGATGATGATGGCAGCACACGTCGCCGCAAAAGCGACGACGATGATGGCAGTGGTCGTCGTCGCAAAAGTGACGACGATGATGGCAGTGGCCGTCGTCGCAAAGGTGACGATGATGGCAGCACACGTCGCCGCAAAAGCGACGACGATGATGGCAGTGGTCGTCGTCGCAAAAGTGACGACGATGATGGCAGTGGCCGTCGTCGCAAAGGTGATGATGATGGCAGCACACGTCGCCGCAAAAGCGACGACGATGATGGCAGTGGTCGTCGTCGCAAAAGTGACGACGATGATGGCAGTGGTCGTCGTCGCAAAGGTGACGATGATGATGGAAGCACGCGTCGCCGCAAGCGTGACGACGATGTCGGCGACGATGATGTGCCGGACAATGGGTGCGTGGACGAGCAATTCATGTGCAACAGGCTTTGCTCTGGGATGAAACTGGAGGGTCGAGAGCTTTCGTGGTGCAAGCACAGATGCACATCGAAGTTTACCAGCCAGATCAAGCCGGGATTGAACCACTACTGCAAGGAGTGCAAGAACTACTGCGAGCACCCTCCGGCGACAACCACCACCACAACGACAACAACAACCACTGCAGTCAACAACGAGTGCAAGCACACCAAGGTGTACTTCACGACCTCCACGACCACCCATCCTCCCTACCCCAAAGACGACGACGATAAGGATGACAGCCGTCGCCGCAAAGACGACAGCCGTCGCCGCAAGGGTGATGACGACGATGGAAGTGGAACTCGCCGACGCCGGCGCCGCAAGGGTGATGACGACGATGGAAGTGGAACTCGCCGCCGCAAGGGCGACGATGATGGTAGCCGGCGCCGCAAGGGTGATGACGATGGTAGTGGGCGTCGCCGCAAGGGCGACGATGATGGCAGCCGTCGCCGCAAGGGTGATGACGACGATGGAAGTGGAACCCGCCGCCGCAAGGGCGACGATGATGGCAGCCGGCGCCGCAAGGGTGATGACGACGATGGAAGTGGAACCCGCCGCCGCAAGGGCGACGATGATGGCAGCCGTCGCCGCAAGGGTGATGACGACGATGGAAGTGGAACCCGCCGACGCAAGGGCGACGATGATGGCAGCCGGCGCCGCAAGGGTGATGACGACTATGGAAGTGGAACCCGCCGCCGCAAGGGCGACGATGATGGCAGCCGGCGCCGCAAGGGTGATGACGATGGTAGTGGGCGTCGCCGCAAGGGCGACGATGATGGCAGCCGGCGCCGCAAGTACAGGCACCATCGGCGTCATTACAAGGACGGGGATGACTGAGGGCAAAGCCCTGCCAATTCGTAGCCGATCATTTTTGGGTTTTGTGTATTTTGCGGCCATCGTGCCGCTCTTGGACTGCAGTCTTGAATCTGAAGCTGCCTGTGCGTGCGAGCCAACACGTGTGACATGTAGCGGCGGAGTGCGGTCGCCGAATAGCAATGTCAGCAATGTCGCATTGGCAGGCAGCCCAGAGGCCATCGCATGCATCAGCCGAGTGCTCGTCGCATGCCGAAGTGCCATCCCGTTTTGTTGCTCGGGAGGGCGTCGAAGACGCCCCAGGCCCTGGGCGATTTTAACTTGCAGTCTGAATTGCAGGAGCTGAGGAATCAGTCGGTGAATCAGAATAATCAGATCTATGATTGCAACTTCGTGTCTGCCGTCGTGAGGCGCTTGCCGTTTCTGGACTCCGCTCGGCTTCGCTCGGCTCAAACAGCGCAGGGCGCGTCGCCGCCCTCGCAGGCCGGGCCCGGGGCCCCGGGGCGCCGCTCCGTGAGGACAGAGCGAGAGTCGTGGGCTGCTGGATCGGAAAGAGAAGGACTGGCGAGACGCCGAGAGAGACGATGCGTGCAGTCTTTGACTCGGCGTGGCCGTCTCCGGAAGGGCTGTGGGCCGGCAAGACGAACTTGAGTCGAGCGAACGAAGCACCAGACTCTCTGGTTCCTGTAAAGACTGCAATATGAGGCAATTTCTTCATTCAAGAGCCCATGATCTCTCGCTGGACCTTTGACAGATTCCGCTTTGTGGAAGTTGACAAGTGTCTCACATGGTTATGTTGTTTCCAAGTTACGAGGGAATCTTTGAGAGTGCTAGACCACCCCATGAGTCCAAGACGCGGTTGTGGGCTGTCAGCTGTCAGCTGGTGACTCTTCCGCCTTTGGCCTCATCACCCCAAGGAGGGTCCAGGTCTCGCCCTCTGGTGCTTCGTGGTGTCGTGGCGTGAGCAGAGGTGTAGTCTGGAGGGCTGCCAAAGGTTCCAGAGAAACGACCCAGTGACGGAGTCGCACGGATTTGTACACAAGTTATCCGAAGCAGCAGCAGTCTTCGCAGAGTTGGATGCCATGGCATTGCAACAGGCGGCGAAGCTGATCATAAAGGAATCGATGAGAGAGTCGCATGAGTTGCATTTGTGTAAGACATGTTCGTTTGGTTTTTCTTTACAGAACGCCTCTGCTCTGCTTTGCTCTGCGCTGCTCTGCTGCTCTGTGGTTTCTGGGTGGGTGGATTTCCAATCCGGCGGCAGGCGATGGCGCTTCAGGTCCTCTCCTCGGGCCTGGGCTCGGTGAAGAAAGCAGCGCCAGAGGCCCAGTCAGGAGAGGCCCTACTTGGCGGCTTCCGTTTGGGAGACGCAGAGACATAGCTTCGCTTGCCCGAGAGATCCGAGGAACCGGGTGACGCAACGTGAAACACCGCTGGAAAAGAACCTCAGAGAGGCTTGAGAAAGCACAGTCTGACATCTCCTAGATGTGCTAGTAGCAAGGCCACTTCCAACCAGAATTGGGGCGTGCCGAACAGCCAGCCCGCGTCTTGGACACGACAAGACTTCCAAGTCGTGCGATGTCGCTTTGTGCCAGGCTCCATGACATCGCACGTGCTTCCTTCGATTTCCAGGAGTGTGGATCTGAGGGGATTGGCCAAGTGTTTCTAGTGTGGTAGTGGTGTTGTGTGAAGCCTACAGACTCGAGAGCGCAGACAGTCGTCCGGCACATGACGGTTGCCACGTCGGCTCCCTACCCCACCGCGGCCTCTGAAAGCACGACGAGCAGTGCAGCAGAAGTATTGCTAGTACCACTGCCGACCGGCTTCTGCCGTTGCTGCAGCAGTCGCCGCCACGACAAAGACCACAGTTCTCGAATCCCAGCCGTGTCTGCGATGAAGCTGTGATCTCCATACCTCTGTTCCGCCGACGTTCCCGACCGTGCAGAATCCTCGGACAGGAAGGCGAAAGCTGAAATGCTCCGGCACTTCTTGAAGGTCTGCTTCTAGAGCGCAAGACTTGGCTGTGAGGTACCAGACCATCATCACCGAGATTTGGGCTGGTTTGCAGGTGAGCAGTGTGCCAAGGGGCTCCGAGTGAGCGAGAGTTTAGCGAGAAGCGATTTTGTTAGGAAGCGAAGAGCAGATGGCGGCGGGTCTTGAAGACTTTGAACCTGGTTGAGTTTTTGGTGAAAAACGGCAGCGAGCGGATCATCGACGAGATTCGCCGCGACCAGTACAAGGTGACGGCAGATGGGACTTCCTCTTCCTCCCCGCTTCCCGCTTCGCTTTTCTCCTTGAGCGTTCTCGACTTTGCAGGTCCGTCCGCTCATGGATTTCAGCTACTCTGAAGATGGCTCTTTGGCCTTGGCAGACTCTCTCGTCTCTCTTGTACTCTCGGACCCTGTCGCGGCCTGACCCAGGCAAAGACAAGGGCGCGGCGGTTCGCGAGAAGGCGGCATGCCCACCTCGATGTTTCCGCGCTTCACGGAGCAGAGGAAAGTAGTGGTGCTTGCTTGCCATGTTGGCACAGTGCGGCGTAGCGGGTTTTTTTGATCTCGGATGCGGGCACAGTCCCAAAGGCCGAATGTTTGAGATACGAAATACGTGCCAGCGGCTATGACAGGCCAAAGCCATCTTGGAGCTCATCAGTGTCGCCGCCTCAGGGACACCACGGCTTCGCGGCTTGCACGCCGCAATTTTTCCGCATTCCGCATGCGGAGAGCTGCAGGATAACGAGTTGCTGCGCTCGGAGAGGGAGAAGGCCATGTGACTGCGACGGAGCTCATTAGTTCAGTGGGTTTGCTGCAGGCCCGCACGCACCGCGAGAAGTTCATGGGCATGCACCGGCCCAAAATTCAGTGCAGGCTTCCCTGCGTGAACCCGTGCTGTGTCTAAGCGAGGTCCTCGGTTGACAGCAGCAGCTACGGAGGTGGGTTTGGTGGAGGCAGTGGAGGTGGAAGCAGCAACTACGGCGGTGGTGGCAGCTACGGTGGCAGCAGCGGTGGCAGCTATGGTGGTAGCGGTGGTGGTACTGGTGGTGGCAGTTATGGTGGTAGTGGCGGCGGCAGTAGTGGGCGCAATCCCAAGTTTGCAATTGCACGGTAGCAGAGGGCATCGCAGCACGCAAACGCTCACTGAGGGGCGGCTATGGCGGTAGTTCGTCTGCCTCTCGGATGCCGACAAGCTTTGGACCGCTTCGTTCCGATTTCCAGCCCAGGTACGACCCGTACGTGGAGAACAAGAAGTTCGACGAAGCGAGGCGGAGACGGGAGGACGAGCGATTCGATGAGCTGCTTGGCTTGAGCTGCTGCGTTTTGTCACCACCACGCTTGTGCTGAACCGATGCCGAGCCTCGCGGCTGAGGCGCGACCGCAGATATGACCGTGATGATCGAGACAGAGACGATCGAGACGATCGGGACCGTCGGCGCGACATGGCAGCAAAAGTGGTGGTCGCGAGCTAGCGCCAGCAACTGTAGCGAGTGCACTCGCTCTAGAGCCCCGTAAGGCGCACTCCTGTGGGACCTTGTGGCATGTATCTTTCAACAAGGGAGTTGATGAATCACGATTTATCCGCTTGTTTGTCTGTGTCTGTCTACCTGCCTACCTTTCTATGTATCGGTCTGTCTATCTAACTATTTGCCTATCCATCTAGTTATTGTCTAATCTATCTACCAATCTACCTGTCCCTCTGTCTCTGTCTATCTATCTATGTATCCCGTTTGTCTGTCGAGATATCTGTCGTTGGTATTTTCAGAATGCTTGTTTGACATAGATCTTAATCCTTTTGCGTATTTTTATTTCTATCTATCTATCGATCGATCTATCTTATCCATCTACCGGAATCTACCGGCCAACTTATCTATCTATTTATTTATGTATCTATCTACCTATCAGTCCGTACCTGTCTCTATCTGTCTCATCTCCTCCCCACATCTCGATTCATATCTCGATCGATCTATCTATTTATCTATCTCTCTATCTATATCTCTCTCTAGTCTATCTGTCTTCCCATGTGTCTATCTTTGGGTTACACTGCATTGCATCATTGCATTGCGTTACAATGTGGTACATTGCATTGGCATGCATATCTACAGAATATCTGATGCAATAGTAATGCATCACATTGCGTATACGCTGTTGCGTTGGTGTAATATTCCAGAACCACTTCCAGAACCACGAGGGTGGTAGATCTATATGAATAGAGGCCGTTGCAACAGAACTGCTAAAGGTATCAGGCACATAAAGCATTTTCTGTTCTGGTACAATGCCGCGAGAGCAGAGCCCTGAATACAACTTTCAGACTTCATCCCTCTGTGATGTGCGTCGAAGTCCCTGTAAATTTCATGAACTGGCATTTCGGGCGCTTGAAGCCCATGTACATGCCTATGCAAAGTCGCCACTCACTGATTTCCAATCTTTGCTAGGGAACTTTTGTAGACTTCAGTATTCATCCCCAAGTGATCGTTTCCAAGCCCTTATATATTCAATTTACTGCAGTTGGGCACTTCTATTAAGTTGCCTGCTAGGACTCCAGATGGTTTCTCAAAAGGCGTGTGCAGATCAGTGGCCTTGTCTCTAGAACAGTACAGTCTTCGTGTCCTTCGTTCCGTCACAGAGCGACCCAACCGCTACGAGCTGCGCACACTCCTTGTCCTTACAATCCATTCTTCGTTCATTTTGTCTCGAGCTTCTAATCTTAGACTCGTTGCTCCAATGTCCTGACGCGCTCAGGCCCCTTACTACCGAGTGTAGCCCTATGGAGCCCACGCTGTTACCCGTACTATGATACCGAAGCGTTGAGCTTGTAAACCTCTCTTTAAGATTCGCGGAATTCATCCCTACACATTTCCCATGCTCTTGCAAGTCCAATCTACCACAACGTTCTGACCGCTGAGCACCATTGAATACCTTTGCGAATGCCAGTAAGATTGTACCATGCATCATGGGGCTTTGAATCCGTGCCATCATACCACGAAGAAGGGGGCCAGGCGGGGGGGTCGGAAACGAACGCAAACAACGGGTCACGAAACTTATGGGAGAAGGATGAGGTGACCTATAGGTGGAGGGTACCTGGTGGGCCTGTGGCCTCGGCGGATTTTAAACGCTTCGCATCGCCCGCCTCGGCCTGGCTGCACACGTATGTGCCGAATTGGTTGGAGGTTGGAGGTATCTGTCTAAGGTAAGCATCCGGAGCCTGCATCGATACCCTGTGAAAAGTTGCCTTGCTGAACAGAATACTTGAGCGCAGATCTTGCAGGTGCCAAAATCCTTTTGCGCAAGTGTTCTGCATAGAAGTGCGGTAAGTTTGTAACTTTCAGTATCTTTGGCCTAGAACCTGGAGTAGTCTTCAGCTCGGAAGGGGAGCGGTAGGGGGACGGGAGGGGGGGGGTGATGGAATCCGTACAGGAACCTCTCTGACCGCTTCGGCCGGGGCCGAGGCGAAGTAGGTTCTTTCTATTTCTGTTTGGTGTTGACGACATGCTGCTTCAACTTCAGCACAGAAGTCTTTGGTCAGGTTTCCAGCGCCACCGGGCAATTACCCCCCCACCCACACACCTCGCAATGCAGGAGTCGCAATGGGGTGAAACAGATGCCTCGACGCACTCAGCCCCTAGCACCAAACCAGAACTTCCCAACCTATCCGAGAGGTCACCAATAAAAGGATTCGGCCGTTGAATGGGAGGAGGGAGAGAATGAAGCGCGTGGATGGTTGAGAGGTTTGGAGGAGTCAGCGGACGTGTTTGGGATATGCAGCCATGGATTAAGCTCTTAGACAGAAGACTGGGACTGGCCAGGCAGAGACGATCGGGACCGCGACTTCCGCGACCGCGACCACGACCGCCGAGAGGATACACCCTTTTTGGTCCGAGTTATGCTCGGTGAAGTCAGCACAGGAGGATCGGCGGCGAGATGAGCGGGATTCGCGGGATGATCGAGACCGAGATGGCACGGAGCTGAGAGTCCTACGCCCTGGGTTCCGTGCAACACGCGCCGCAACTCAGAGGTCGTCGCCGGGACTACGACTACGATGACAGGCCATTCTTCATAAACGAAAACCACGAAGAAAGTGTTGCATGTTCCTCATGTTCCTGTTGCATTGACCAACAGAAGGCGAGATCGTGACGCACGTCGGGGCCCATCAGTCCCATTGCAACACAGCGCTTCGCTTTCCTTCCAAAATAAGGCCGCCGCAGTTACGACGAGGACGATCGTCGCGAGTCCAGACGAGACACTCGTCTGCAAAGTCTATATGTTGCTTGACATGTCTTGGACATCTTTGGTCAGTTTGAAAGGCCGCACAGTGCTAATCGCCCGAACATACTTTTCTCGAAACTTGTTGTGGCAGGCGCAAGCCATCACAAGCCTTGTCACACCCTGACAAGTCGAAAGTCTACAGGATCGGGATGACCGTGATCGGGATGAACGAGACCGGGTCGAGAAGCCGCCTGCTCCGCAGGCCTTCCGAGGTAATGTTCGCGGTTGGCTCCTTCCTCCTGTGTCCCACAAGCAGACAACTCCTGTAGAGTCCATGGCTCTCCATGTCGAGTGGGACTATACTTTACGATAGGACTCACGTTCCCATGCCCAAGCCAGCAATTGTAGGGACCGGTCGTTAAGCTCGCACAAGGTGAAGACTTGCTGAGCGCATGTCGACTGCCTGCAGTCCTTGCTGTCCCTGTAGAAATCCTCGATGGCCAGGTCGTTTCTGGCTCTTGAACATTAACAGGCATCTCGCAAGGCAGCAGATTCCGCTTTGCCATGGCATCGTCGCAACGGCACGTTGTCAAGCAAACAGCCGCCCAGCTAGTCCATCAGCACATACGCGTGACACAGTGTCGGGTTCGACATTGCTGAACCCCAGCCGCGTACTCAACAGCTCAAGCCCCTGCAGATTCAGTAGACCCGCGATACTGTCTACATGCATCAGTCTTAGAATTATTCCGCTGCGGCAGTCGGTCGGCTGCATGGCGACGGTTTCTTCGACTCGTATATCCGCAACCCTACTGGTCGTGGGAGATCGTGGGAGTCCATCATCGGTTCACAGACCTCGTGCTTCGGTTTCAGGCGAACCTGCTGGACATGGGTGACCCCGCAGAGCCACCTGCGACTACAGCAGCTGCTGCCCCCGCGGCGCAGGGTTGGGGTCCGCGCCCATTAAATGCTCCTTTGCGGAACAGAAAGGACGAATACCTCTTTCGCAGGTGCTTTCGAGGGGGGTGCCGGCTTCGCCGACTTTGGCGCCGGTGCTTCGGCAGGTGCCGCAGGCGGTGATGGCTTCGGAGACTTCGTAGGACCGCCAGCGCAACAGAGAGCACTCCTTCGGGCGCAAGAGCACGGTCACGGGTGCAGAGGAACGGCGGCACCGCCGCCGGCCACAGCCCCACAGGTCGGGATTTCAGCTGCACACACCACTGACAACACAGACAGCGCAGGGCGGCGACCTGTTCGCGAATGCATCTTTCCAGGTGCTTAGCAGCCCGGGGAAACTTGTGGCCGGCATTGGCATCTGACTCGGCAGGCATCGGCAGCACCGGCAGCTGCGGCGCCGGGGACCTGGGTACTCGTGTTGTCAACGTTGTCTTTGTGTCGGTTGTTTTCGCTTGTCGTCCTTGTCGCTGTGGTTGTCAGTGGCTCTGGTTGGGCTGGCGCTGGTGCTGGAGGTGAAGGTTGTGGTCGTAGGCGTGGTTGCAACTGTGGTTGTGGCTGTGATTGCTGTTGTTGATGATGACGATGATGATGATGGTGATGATGATGTCGCTGTCGCTGTCGCTGCCGCTGCCGCTGCCGCTGCTGCTGCTGCTGCTGCTGCTGCTATTGCTGCTCTTGTTATCAGTCTTCTTAGCCGCTTTCATGTTCTTGTTCCGACCTTGCTGTGGAAGGCTCTAGAGGGCTCAAAAAGCACAAACCCAAAGTTTTGCGGAATGATTGCTAGACTATTGCTAGCATTGGTGGTCCTTGCAAAATCCCCTGGGCCAGCAATGACGGCGTCAACTTGTCCTTGTTTTTGTTTTGTTCTTCCAGTTGTTACTAGTCTTCTTGTCCTTGTTCTTGTTCTTGTTCTTGTGGTTGTTGTGGTCGTCGTCGACGTTATCGTCGGTGTGTGGCTGCCGTTGAAAGAAGCATCTCCAGCAAGGCAAGGTCTGTGCTCTACAAGTGCAACCACAGCGACCTCGCACTACTCGTACCGTAGATACACTCAGCGCTAGCTTTCTACTGGCGCACCCAGAGATTGCCTCAAACCATCGATGAGTGGGGTTGGGCACACAAAGATTTCCGTGTGGGCGACAAGGACGCCGCAGATGCCCGACTTGTTCGCTGTCGGGAGCGACTTTGCGGGCTTCCAGGTGGCACACTCCGACAGCGTTATAAGGGCTCTCAAAACAGAGGGACTCGTCCTCGTCGACGTCAGGGCGGCAAGGGCGGCTGCGGCTGCGGCTGCAGCGCCGCTGAAGCGGTGGCCCCAGCCATGGCGGCTCCCGGCGGCAGTGGCAGTGGCAGTGGTGGCCTCCTCGGCTCAGCGGCGGGCTGCGCGGGAGATGGATTTGCAAGTTGGAGCCTCAGGGCGCCTATAGAGCTCTGAGTCTGCGAGTGTCGCGGTTTGAGCGGTTTCAGTGTCAGGCCAACCAACTGGGCAGGTTGACACCGGAGGGCATGCGCCTCAAGAATTCCGAAGAAGATTCACGGAAGTCGCAGAACTTCAGGTCCTTCTTGGATGGCATCTCTAGCAAGCTGTTGGCCGTAACCTCGGTGAGAACTCGAAACGTGCAGCAGACTCGACTCGTGGACTGAGGACCTGAACCTCGGCTCTGGCACTTCCCAGGCTTCTGGTCAGCCTCCCGCTCCGAACAAACCCATGGGAGGCAGCCCGTCGCCGCCCGTCAGCCCATGCATTTTTGTTGGCAGCAGCCTTGTCCTGACAGGCATGGGAATGGGCAGTGCCATGGGCAACACCATGGGCACTGCCATGGGTGCAGGCCTGTGGAGCCTGGTGTTTCCTAGCCGTGGCAGAGCAGGAATTCGCAAGAAGGAGCTGCTCCAAACGGTAGGTGCAGGAATGGGCAGCTGCGGTGGCTGCTGCGGAGGCACACGCCGAATTTATGGATCTGCTGAAGCCTCGGGGATGTTGCGCCTTTCAATGTTGAGCCTGGCGTCCGGTGAACCCTCTCGCACTTCAAATGCAGTGTCGCAGAGCGCAGCCTCTCGCAGGCCACGGCATGCTACCTCAGGGGCGCAAGAATCGACAGACCAGTCACCACCCTCTTGACAGACACCCTCCAGAGTGCTGTAGCCACCCGCCTGGTCGCAGGGGTTCCCAGCATAGTAACAGCTTGCAGGCTGTGGCTGCGGCGGCTGTGGCTGCGGCGGCTGTGGCTGTGGCGGCTGTGGCTGCTGCGGTTGCGGCGGTTGCGGCTGCGGCGGTTGCGGCGGTTGTGGCGGCTGCGCAGGCTGCGGCGGCTGCGGGCCCACGCCCGACCCTTATTGTAGCACTTGCAGTCGGATCGGAGAGGGCAGAGTCATATAAGCCTCAGGGGCTGCGGTTGTGGATGCGGCGGCTGTGGCTGCAGTGGCTGCGGTCCGTGTGGGGTTTGTGGAGGATGTGGAGCCTGTGGAGGCGGGCCCTGTGGGGGCTGTGGCTGTGGTTGTGGGGGTGGGCCGTGTGCCGGCTGCGGTGGCTGCGGTGGCTGCGGCGGCTGCGGTGGCTGCGGCAGCTGCGGCGGCTGCGGCTGTGGCTGTGGCCCATGTGGGGCCGGGGCCTGTGGAGGGTGTGGCATGCAAATGCAGAGCCCGATGGGACAGTTCGGCCAAATGGGCCAGCCCCAGATGGGCCAAACAGGCCAGGCCCAAATGGGCCAAATGGGCCAGATGGGCATGAAATGAATGTCCTCGCAGCTAGTCTTCTAATCACTATACTGTTACCACTCCAGGACGATCCTGTAGTTCTGCTTGCTACCGATTATGCGCTCTGCTGGCCTTTGCCGCTTTGCTGGATGCATGATATCCAAACGCACGCGCTTGTAGTGCCAGCCATTTGGCCTGCGTCAACCGGTTCACCGGGGAACCTCCCCGGCAATTCGATGTTATCTTAGATCGACCGCCGGTCCGCCGCTGACCTGGAAATAGCCCCCTTTCTGTCAGACGCGCCCGCATCTTGAGCTCTAAGCTATGGCGCTGCTGTAGGTAGGACATACTCGACGCATCTGGACAGAGTAAAACTGAGCGCGGGGCCTGTGTCTGCTCTTCGGCGCTGATGGCACCCATAGCATAGCCGATAGCCGATAGCCATGGTCTGAGAACAAACGCATTCACAAGATTGGCTCAAGGGGGGCTTTGCCTTTGTCCTGATGGTGGCAAGGGTAAAGCTGAGAAGCGGCTCCCAAAGGAATTGGCGAAACCGGCGAGCCTCCTGGTCAGTGGCGGCTGCCTGTTACGCTGGTTGCCATTGCTTCGCTGAAATGTCCAACCGGGCCATCCCGCAGAACTCCCAGCGTGATGCCCCACGGGTGCGAGGCATAGATGAAGGCCTTCGACGACGAGGGGAGAGCGGGCTAGCTCGGGACGACGACTCCGATGCAGCAGACGCGACCGGCGCCATTCCGTCCTCTTCATCGGGTTACCGGAGCTGTTTGCGGGCCCTCTCTTTTCTTGGCATTCATCGGGCCTGTGGGCTCTTGACAGCGCGGAGACGGCAAAGAGAGGCTGCGCTCGCTGCACGGAGCGCAGGGACCGAGTTCGCCGCTGAGGCGTGGTGAGGGGGAAGACAGGGCACACAGGGCGAGCCCGCGACTCTTTAGGCGACACTGGAGAGCTGTCCACCGCCAGTCCTCTACAAACAGCAGGAGCCCCGGCTGAGCCCCGCCTGAGGAGACCGCCTCTGGGGGCGGCCTCTGCAGTCGTGGCTCTGCTGCTCTGCATTGCTCTGCTGCTCTGCTCTGTGCTCTGCAGGCGATGGGTGCAGCTGGCCTTCTTGGCCCTCTTAGCCTTGATCAGCGACCTGGTGTGTCCTCCCAAGAACTTGCATTTGCATTTTGCGTGTACGCGGACAACCTGTTATTATACACCATAAACATATAGGTGCTTCAGCGTCGCTGCCACGCCGAGCGCCCAGCTTTTTCAATCACATGAACGATGTGGCACTTTTCCTTGACACCAGGCCGGCAACTTGGACAAAGGTTTTCGGACAGGACGAGTGAGCCAAGATAGCAGCCTGCAACAAGCATATAATGTAGCATATCTCGTCAGAACCATGAGGTGAAGCCGAACGGAATGCTTCTTGCAGGATCCGGCCACCCTAATTGACATATTTCTCTTCACAAACGTTTTTGCGTGCTTCATCGAGCCATTCGTGCGACGCTCGGTCTTTGTGATCCATCCGTGCTTCTTCTACAAGCACATGCTTCATATATGTTGTCCCATCTCTCGATCTGTTTTCCGTGCAGATCATCCGCAACTTTGGGCTGCGCATACCCATTGTGGGTGCGGCTATGCGTGGGTCCCCAGATCTGATCCCAGCGCGATGCACAGCTTATGGAGGCACTTGGGCTTTGGATTTGAGGCTCATGGCAGTGGGATGCTTTCTGCGATCCGGCATGCCCTTCCAGGGTGATGAGCTGCCAGGCTCTAGTCTCTAGTCACTCTAGTCGCATGGCCTTTGGCACGGCTGCGGCTGCTGCGGCTCCAGCGCCAGGCTACAACACGGTCGTAGCAGGCACCATGTTGGTGGCCGTGAAGACCTCAGCAACGGAGGAGTCTAAGTGCCAAGTAATCTGCTCCGACTGCAGCACTCTTCAGGTAGCGCAGCCGTTTTTCCAGTGCACGCCGCCCCTGCTGTCTGCAACCTGGTTTGCACCAGACGAGACTCGGCCCAAAATCTGGGGATCGGATCTGGGAACTGGGAGACAAAAGCCGAGGAGCGAGCAATGTCTACGGCTGTGGCTATCAACTTCAACCAGGCCACGTGACCTGACGAGGGCGCGCCATTTGCTGTTGGATCCTGGTCTGAGGGACCTGATCTCGACTTATTGCGCCGTTTCGGCGGTAGAGTTCTTCTCTGGTTTGGGCCTGCTGCAAGCAGCGCAGGGCCGCAGGGCCGTAGGGGCGGGTGTTGGTTCTTGGTGAGGAGAGCTGGTTTCTCGAAGAATGTTGGAGGTTGGCATTGCTGCTGCCTTCATCGCTGGTGGGGCCATGGGCGGCTCCGAAGCCGGTCTCAAGGCTTGCAGCGGCTTGCAGTGCACAGGTTTCAAGGTGCTATTACTTGCTATTGCACTTGCGCTGTGCTGAGACATACTTCGTGACCATCACCCTGGTTTCCGTGGTGGTCGCTGCAGCGTCCCTGCAACTCGGCTCGTCACGTTCTAGTGTACTGGCAAAGTGGGGACATTCGTGAATCAGTGAAGCAGTGGGCTTTCTTCTTTTTGGTGAACTCCGGAGGTTCTTCTTTCGGGAGCGGCCCCCCACGCCACCGCAATGGACCCATCAGAGACCGCAGATGGGGAATCTAGGAGATACGTCCAAAGTGCAGCGCAAGTGTCATGCTTAAATCGTCCAGGTTAGTCTGCATGGGTGTCGAATTCCTATGAGGTCAGCATCGGAGTTGGAGAAGTTGCTGGCAGAGAAGTCTTCGGGGACCCTTAAGACAGAGGCCGTGGGCCCAGCTGCGAGAGCTGCGAGCCCGCCCAAGGCCCAAGACTTGTACCATCTCGAGACGGTGTCAGGTCGGAGACGACAGCAAGACAGCCGCGACAGCCAATAAGCCGGAGGAGAGCTTCCCAAAAGAGGCGCGCACGCTCAGTCGGCCCCCAAATGATCAGTTCGCCAAGATGCCTGCAGGCCTATCGGCTGATTACCACTCCGGGCTTCCTGCCGCCTTTGGCGGCTTTTGTAACGTCCATTGCTGTCACCAACGTAGTTGGCGCATTCATGGACCTGGTGCACCCGGCTGCTTTC